GCATCAATATGTATTTTGGTCAGTTTGATCAAAAGTTAAAAAACTTCTCACAGGAGCTTTAAGACACCAAAGTCCAAATTAAGCAGGATTTAAATTGGTATTGAACAACAAAAAAAGAATTAGTAAGTTTTTGAAAATGAAGTATCCTTCCAGCTGTCACAACTTGAGAAATCAGCCACTGGGATCAAAACTGTCTTGGCCAAAAAGTTGCACTAGAACACACCGCAAAGACGGCAGCCGGTGGCCAACCACCACGTACGTTCTGCGCATGTGTGAGAGGAAATAACTCTCCATGCCAGCAGGAGGCGGTAGTCTGTAATCGTCATTCCAAAAAGGGGAAACAGGAACAGGATGAAGAAGAATGAGGATAAATAAACTGTTGTTGTGACACGAGAAGACAATTTTCTCACCGCTGTTGCTCAACACTCGTAATATAGGAACTTCTAATGGAGAATAATGTCTGATAAAAAGTTGAAAATGAGCCAAAACACAAGACCGGCCTGTCGGCAGCAGTCATCTCGTCACTATATTTATATTTTTTCGCCATGATCAACTTTCTCCATAGAGCCTGTTAGCATAGCTTCCAAGCAATATGGCGGACGTTAAGTTTCGATTCTGGGAGTGAGTTCCCACCCACTGATCTGTGATTGGTCTGTAGCTTCAGTGGTTGAAAATATAAGAAACTAGCGTTGTAGTTTCACCCCGCTAACCGCAACAGCTTCCAGTGACGCAAAAATCGTCATTTTGCATCATCAGAAGCTCCTTTTCAGACTTAAAAATACAAAGATTTCCCATCTCAGGGGAAAATGAGGGCGGGATGCACGACCATTCAAAAAATACTACCAGGTTTCTAATGATACAAAGATTAATGCAAATGGCTGAAGTATCCCTTTAATCCAGACAGGATAAGGCTAAGAGAACGTCCTTGGTCACTGCCCACATCTTCCAGAAGGGATGCGGCTTGCTCCATAGATACCAATTCCAAAAGCTAATCCAATCAAGTGTTGTTATTCTTTTGAGGTTACCCCATCTATGATATTTAGAGGTATACCCACTTTTGGACTTAATAGCCGTTGTCACATATGCACGCCGGATAATATCTAGATAATTACGGGAGGACTGCTCCAGATATTCTCCTGACCTAGCTGTTCACATCCTCCACCAGTCTAAAGTGTTCTTGATCACAGTTTTTTTTTCGATAAAGTGAGTTTTGTATTTTCAAACAAATTTATAAAGCTTCCTATATATAGCCTGGCCCAGACAATGTGTCAAAGGATGCGCCTCAAGACCTGTTTGACAGAAATTGGTGAGCCACTTCCACCTGACCTTGTTATGGCTGGGGAGGGTCCCTGTGCTTCATGGGTCATTCTAGTCATAGGTGGGGCCAGGGCGTGGGGGTGCTGAAGCTACCCCTATAGGGTATCTAAAGTACCCTCAAAAAGTGTATGCGATTTAATAATTTTTTCGTATCTAATTTATTTACATGTGAGTCATATGCCTTTCAATTTTAATTAAGAAAACAATGTGTTTTTTTAGAATTAAAAGAAGCTGGATCAGGATATTAAATTCAGCCAATGGTGCATCATGACGAACCTAATAAGGCTCATCAAGATGCTGTTTACTGGGAAATGGCAGTTACTAAAAGAAAAGCAGGAGGAGGGGGATAAAAAACAAATGGTCAATAAAACCTCTTTTATGGGTTATGGGTTTTTTTGCTCACAATGCTTACTGTGACGCTGAGCAAAGTCTACTCTCCTAGAGGAAATAATTACACCAATATGTTAGACTCATACTGTAAACTGTAAACATACAAGAAAGTGACTGAAACTTCTGAGTGAGGAGGCGTAAATCTCTGTTGATAAGGCGTACTTTTGCCCACTTGTGTAGCCGCCTGGTCACACTGATAGTTACATTGGCATGTAAAGGGTGTTTAAAGGTTGATTAGATACACGTGTGGAGTAAACCACATTTGAAGGGACTGACTGTATCTCAATTTGCATTGAAAAGTCTTCTTAAATGATGTTTGTCTTAAAGCCCAACTATGACCCAATAATAGCGTTATTCATTCAGTGTTTGGAGAACATGTTTCTTCTCTTCAGCTCGAGAAACTCTTCAGCCTCTTTTAACGGATGAATGTTGTTCCCTGTGCTGTTTTTTAGTCTGTAGGGACTTTGGTTTGGAATCGGAGGGTCGTCGGTTTAAGTCCCGGCACGGACCAAGTCCGGAAGTTGGTCTGTATTTCAGCCTATGTTTGTGTTCATGTTCATTAGACAGAGTGTAAAAACTGAATTTCCCCTCACTGGATTAATAAAGTATTAATTATTATTATTATTATTATTATTATTTTTCTCTTCTCCCCTTCTGTTGTCTCTAGCCCAGGTGATGCTACTTGTTGCACAACTATGCACACCTGTCCTCAGAGCTTAAAAGCCCACTGCTGGCTTCAGGAGAAGTTGGGACTGCGGTCTCTCTCAAGCTGTTTTCACATATGCACTCCGGATAATATCTAGAGGGGTGTCAGATAGTGGTGGGCGATATAACCATCTTAGATCGTGAAGGATTTTAACCTCCTGATGAGCTGCCAAAGCAGGGAGATCGTAGAACCGGACTAATGTGTTTATTCTATCATGCTGCAGTTTATGCTCCGACACAGACACGTCTCCTCCTCTTTTGCTCTGCAGAGGTGAAAACGAAAACGAAACTTAAAAGTAAAGTCCGCAAAAACAACTCCATCTCGGTTATATGCAAATGTTCTGACATTTTTCCAAACCGACACGCTGTGAGCAACAGTTAATTTATCTGCATAGTTTGCACAGTTAAATTTACATCTCAGATAGCGACACAAGAAACCTTTATACGAGCTGGAGAGACGTTAACACTCAGAGACAGACAGAGTGGAGCTCAGACAGTCAGTGATGAGAGATATAACCCCGGTGTTTAAAATGTTGCTGTCGGTGTTTTCTGCTCTCTCTCAGTTTTTAAAAGTTACCAGGGGCGGACTGGCCATCTGTGTGTTCTGGAGAATCACAGAACGGCCGGTACTATTTTTTCCTGCTAATCTACTGTTTCACACTCCAGTCCGGTAGGTGGCAACAATGCGTCTTTAAATTGGATGCCAGCCGGCAGCCGCCCGTGCCCACCATAAGGACTGTAAGGTGCCCACCAGCTAATTGAAAAAAAGAAGAAGAAGAAGAAGAAGAAGAAGTAGCAGCAGCGAAGACAATCTTTGGTAGCAGTAGTGAAGCACAAAAATATGGATAGAAAACGCAAAGAAAAGGGTGGGGCTGAAAAGGCGAGGGAAAGAATAATGCGACACTTAGAAAGTGAAGCCGCTAAATGTCGCAAACTCACTGAAATGTTCAGCAGCACAGCCGGCAGCAGCAGCAGCAGCAGCAGCAGCACAGCGGCACAAGTTGATGTTAGCAGCATGAGTGAAAAAGAGAGTGTTGAGGCGAGCCAGACAGTTGTGCATGGTAGGGCCACATGTGATGATGAGGGACAGAGAGATGAGCTGGTGGAAGTTCCACCAGCTCCACCAGTTCCACCAGTATGGAACATGACATGAGAGAGGGAGAAAGAGAGTTACTTGCTGGCTGATGTTAGCAAATGTTATTCAGGTGTTGCTACATTTTTATCTATACCCAGTTTGTGTTGCTCAGTACAATGTGAAAAATAAAATAAAATAAAATAAAGTGAAATAATGATTATAGTAGTTAAAACAGCTCCACTTTAAACATTTTAGGTGTAAAATGCCACATGCAGTAATATTAAGAAATAGGCTATACTGTATATATAAAAACTGTTGTGCTTTTACTTTTTAAAGTTTTGGTAACGTTACAGTTTTCTGATAATACTTACAAACTTTGAAGACTTTTAATAAAGAAGTTACATTTGTAGTGGTGTATTTTCATTATTATTTGTGCAGTAAGTTAATTACTGCATAATTTAATTAAGATTATTGAGTAATAAAGTAATCATAAGATTGCATGGAATAGATGATGTTATGAGCAACATCAGTGCTATTGCTGTAATTTGGATGGTATAGTGTCATGAGTCATGATTAAAGTATTGTGACACCCGTGCCAGGCGTTGATGACTTTCCGCGTACCGATTGTTGTGGGCAGGCCGAGTCAAAGTCCAGGGCTGTTTTGTAGTCCCAGTCCGTCCCTGAAAGTTACTATCAAGCCTCTCCACCTGAAACTCACCTGTATTGAATTTATAGGTATTACACTATACAACATTACACCTTGTGTGTAGCAGGCAGGTGAGTGAGTAACCATGGTGACTGTCTGTCTGTCAATCAACAATGTCCCGCCCCCCTCTATGAATGAAACTCTTCAGTAAAACTTACTTTGATCATGTGTCACAGAATGAGACACATGATCCCCTTCGAGCTCTAAACTGAAGCTGTTTGCAAAAAAGCTCATCAGCGTCAGCGTGTGCACTTTCTAAGGAAGCTTAGGAATTTAATGTTGACAGCACTTTTATGAAGATGTTTTATTCCTGTTTCATTGAATCGGTTTTAACTTTCTGTATAGTGACTTGGTAAGGGTCACTCAGCGCCAAAAAACCTTTCTGACCTTTCTCATTTATATAAAACAAAGTGTCTTAAGAAAGCTCAGTCAATCTTGGCAGATCAAAGTCATCCTTTGTCCAAGGAACTTAAGTTGCTGCAGCCAGGCCTCAGATTCAGCCTGCAAGCATGCAGGACAAAGAGGATGAGAAACACATTTGTTCCTTCTGCCATCACCTTTTTAAACTACTAACTGTGTTAACTCTGTTTCCACCTGTCTCTTATCTACTGTATTTATTTATTGTCCATTCTATGTTGTTTGCTGATTCCGGGCTGTGTGTGTTTTACTGCAAGACAAATTGCCCTCTCTCAGGGACCTTGAACCTTAACTTGGCAATAAAAAACCATTGTGACTCTGATATCTACATATCCCCCCCCACCACCCCTCTCTAAAATAGGTTAGGTTACAGGCATACACGCACTCAGGTAATATATAAAACGAGCCTGTTATATAGATAAAGAAAGTCAGCCGCTCTGCATTATCTACAGTGCATCGAATCAAACCAAAATCTCCAAATTCGAGGAGTTACGTCAGGTCTCGCATACATTTTAGGAAGTGTTTTGTGGTGTAACGCTTCCACGTTTTATGTCAGGGAGGAAGTCACACAGGAGCAGTTACACCCTGATTGACCTCATACATATTATAACCTACAACAAACCACCACTGTCACAGGATCCGACTACAGCCAGAGCAACATCTCCTGTCCATTAGGCTACTCCCTGGACTACAGCCCATCTGTTTGGAGGTGAGTCTGCTTTAAACACGCAGGTGTAAGAGGGTCATTTATTTATAATTCATGAATTTAAAGGGGAATCTACAGGAGTGACTAATAAAGTCAATCAAAGAGCTCTAAATGAAAGAAGTGACAGTTCATTTTTAAATCAATTGTCTCAGGCAACCGATATGATCAGTCATTCGACCTGTTTTTAACTTTGAAATGATGATTAATCCTCATGAGGCTACAAGGTTATATTTCTGCTCAAACTGAGCATTAAGGAAGTCAAACCTCTGCCTGCACTGTTTTTAAAGGTAAAGAAAGCGTCCAATAACAGTGAAAAACACATGGAAGCATATTGCATTAACATGAGAAAATACAAATCTGCTCTGTTTTAAAAGTCAGGTGAATGCAGATACTGTAGCTACTTGGATTTGTTTTTTCAGTTTCATTTATCTAAATGTAAACTTGCTCCACTTCTTAGAGCAATGTTGTTGTTTGACTTAGTTACCGGTATGCACCTCCAAATGTAGTTATGTTCATTTCTGGGTTTATTCTGAATTATTTAAAGTTCCTGTGATGGATTATTTTTTTAAACCTTCCTTTTAAGTGTAATAATCGTTTTAACATCCCCGCTACAGGAGCTGGAAAACGTGTTTTCACAAATATAATAATGCCATCATTTCTAGATAAATGTAGTGTGCGCACATCCCGTGGTTAATTAGTAATTCCTGAAGTGCCAGAGCGGGGAGGAGACAAAAAAACATGTCCCTGAATACACAGATCTTCGGGCACACCTGAGCATTCACAATAATCAGCAATGTACGAGATACAAATAAAATAAAATATAAAAAATATGCAGACAGCAGATTAAAGACAAGATAAAGTAACACACAATATATACAAAATGTACAAGAATAGTAAGCTAGTTATTGCACAGTGACCATTGCAGCATGTTTAAAGAGCAGTAAGAGCTTCATTATTTTCTATCAAGTGGGGAGAAGTGCGTAAAATCACGACGTGCATCCGTCTCCCTCTCTCTCTTTCTCTCTCTCTCTGTCTCTCTCCCCCCTCTCTCTCGCCTGTGCTGGCAGATCCTGTGCTGGCAGGATCTGGTGGTTGATTATCTCACTCTTGTGTTGACTTTAGGTGCTTCCATTGAAACACAGCCATTTATTTATTCAACATGCACTCTGTTAGTAGATCTATCTAAACTGTAAGATTATTTCACTGTCGACTTCCCAACTGCTTCATTGAACCTTCTGTAGGCTACATTTTGGATTTTAATATTTTAATTGAATTTTCCTAATTGTTTTGCACCAAAACCCCAAGTCAAGTTCCTTCTATGTGTAAATGTACGTGGCAATAAAAAAAGCGATTCCGATTATTGTCTCACGCATCTCATATCTGCCTCCTCTGCTGTGATGGATTCCTCTGGATTTAGTTCAACCTGGCTGGCTTATGTTCAGGTATAATAAATGTTTTTTATCTTCACTTCCTTATTGATGTCACAGTATAATCAATAACTCACAGCCATTTAACTGACCGCCTGTATTTGTCTCAGTACACTAGTACGGCACTTTGTGTGTGTCCGACTCCGCCACAGGTGGGTGGCGATTTTCAGATATCAGTTATCAGTTATCAGTTATCAGTTTTCAGTTAGTTACACTTGGACTTTGTTACAGTTGACCTATTACGTCACATACCCAATAATTGAAAACATCCATGTACTTCAATGTGTTTCAGTATAAAGTAACAAAATAGTACCAATTAAAACGTTTTCTTAGAAACAATCTTCAGTTAGGCATCAAGTAAGGTCTTTTACCTGTTTTTGTAAAGTGTGTCGAGATAACACTTGTTATGAGTTGAGGTTATACAAATTAATTGATTGATTGATTGATTGATTGACTGATTGATTGATTAGACTAAATGTACATGTTTCCTTCGTGCCTCCATTACAGCGTGCCTGCAGGTAAACTAACCCTACCTTAAGTCAACATTTTGTCCTCAAGTGACTTCAGTACATTTCATAAGACCATGTAACCTTGGCACACCTGATTGTGAGAATTTGACCATCAGTATGAACATTGTAATTATGTTCCTGTCAAACCTCAAGCACCAAAAACTTGTTTTGTTGTAAACTCCCTGTTTGGTAACAGATAATTATCACATTCTCAATTGACTAGATTAGTTTGATGTTGAAATCTAGACATGATGACAAACTATAAATATTCAGAGGTTTTTTATGACTGAGTGTCTTCAAGAAGAATTCATATGATAAACTTAACACAGAGTCTGTTTCCCCTTTTTGTTGTTTTATTCCAGTACCAGAGGACTCACCATGTGGCTAAAAGGTTTTATAAGTAACCATGTCAACATGAAACTTCTGAAGACCTGTGTCATCCTTCTCCTTCTGACTGTGTTGTTCTTTACACTAAGAAACATGGACCTGCTGCAGGTGAGAACTGGGATTATTGGTAACACTTTAAAGGTGGTCATTGAGTGTCTTTCAATGTACTAAAGTGGGGATTGGGCCCCCCTGGGGGCTCCTGAGACACTGAAAGGGGGTTCGCGAGATGCTTTCCATAAACAAATAAAAGTTTTAGGATTTGCAAAATGCATATTTTACCCATTATTGTGAAAATACATACAAAAAGTAGTTGAATTTAAAAAACAACGATAGTTTTTAAGTAAGATTTATGCTGAAATGAAAGTGATATGTAAAAAAGTCCATTAAATGTAAGTTTGTACAGAAGTGCAACAATGAAGGTGTTCATCTACTCCCCACAAATAAAAACACACAGATATCAGCTGTCTGCTTGATTATTACATTTTGTATGTCCACTCAGTCCTTAAGTTTATACATGGAGATTACTTGGGTTCTGCTTCTAGCCTTTCTTACAATGAATTACTAAAATATGGACAGTGGGGCACCCCAGTCTCCAGCACAGTTATTTTGAGGGTCCCAAGCTGAAATGTTTGGGGACGAATGCTAAAGTCCCGATTGAAAGAGTTTGTGTTGAGGAGACAGGCTGGCTATTCATCAACAAGTGACATCAGGAGGGTAATAATGTCATAACTGTGAGGACCAGAGGGGTATTCCATGAAGCAGGATAAATTCAATTCTATTAATTTCAAGAAACTTTGTTTTTCCCCTGGGGGCAATTCAAAGGCACCCAGAGCAGGAGCATAACAAAGAAGGCTAAAAACTTTGAACTAAAAATATAAAATACCAAATTAAATACTAAAGTTAAAATACAAAATAGATGCAGTAGAATATAGATATAAGTGGACAGTGATCGGACTAAGTAAACTGAATTATTGACAAATGTAAACAGAGCTATATGCAGGTAGATTTATACTGAGTGAGGGGAGCAGCTGGCCGGCCGTCCCGTCCATGTGAACACGCTGTAGATACGGCTCTGAAAACATCACAGACAGAGGGACTCGGGTGTCACACTCCTTGTAGACAGTCATGACTCAGAGTTATTTTCAGAGGATATACTTGATTTCTGCTGGATTTATGTGTAAAATGTTGCACATTCAGCCTTTAAAGTATGCACAGACTCTTTATAAATTTGAACTAGCTCCATTCAGACAGCTGCTGTACCTTGCCATATAAATTATGCTGTGCAGCTGTATAACAGAGTTCATTTCAATCTGATATAAATTGTATATCATTGTATTTACATTTTATGGTAGGCCTACGGCTTTAATTTGACATTTCTGTAGGTTTTTTAAAAATATTTTCTTATGGGGGGGGGTTAGGGGGCAGTGGGTGTTATAAGATTGTAGATTGTTAGATTGTTGTTAGATGTGACAAATATATAACAGGCTTAGTCCATAACAATAGAAATAAAGTTATTACAACACAAGCTTAGTCATTTTTTTTTAAATTTAGATATTTTAGTGTAAAGAGCGTAATAAAATGTGACATATTGTACATTTCCTGTACACTCCTGGTTTGATAGAAAGATGTGGAGAATCACATAACTAACAGAGTGACATCTTGGTGGCACTCTGTTGTCTCAAGTGACTCACACATCTTGCTAGTTGTTGTCTCACTCAGACTGACAGTTATGTAGCAGTGCAATTGCTCATACAATGGAAAACGGAGTTGATGAAGGGGCAGAAGTAAGGATCCTTTGTTTTCTTGTCCCCTGACATCATCATATTAGATCCCGAGCAATTCTGTCCCGAAACACTTTTTTTCCCATGTTGAGATCATTGCAGTGGATATTACTTCAGTATTTTATAGAGTGGCCCTCAGTGTATCGGCCTGGTCTTATAAAATGTCTATAATCCGCCTTTAAATTAATAATGAAACAGATACAGAAACACCTAACTTTGAGAGGGAAAAGTAGACAATATATAATTGGAAAAAAATAAAACACAACTTTGATCATTGAAAAGAGTAAATAAGAGAACATTTGTAAATGAAATGTTCATAAGGGGAGAGCATGCTGTAAGATCAAGAAATGTAAACGACTATTATCCTTAGGTCAAGTTAAGAATAATTCCAAAGTGACTTCCGGCAGATTAAAGTTTTAAAAATAAACAGTTATTAATAATACAAATTTATTTGGATAAATATTCCATCTTTTTTTTGTTTATTTTATTTTAGTTAATTTGTTCGATGCATCTTTGTCACCATCCTTCTTTTTCAACTCCTTGCCAGCGAAATTATAAAGAAAACTCTGCCATCATCAACAAGAAAGTGAACTCTACTCAGCCCACTGCTCCCCATACTGCTTCGCCTGACAACTTCTGCACCTTCAAGCCACTGTCTTCTGTAGAAGCTGAGGAGGAACGTCTCACCATTGCAGACTCCTTCACCATTCTCCCAGGGGGGTTGGAGACGAGCGGCATGTAGGAGACCAGCTGGAAGTTATGATAAAAATGTACGACTTCCAAGGTAACCCCAAGAAGTCTGGAGGAGATGCAATTGTTGCCCGTTTGCACAACAGGGCACTTGAAGCAGGTGTGGCTGGACGAGTGGTGGATCACCTTAATGGCTCCTACTCTGCTGTATTCCCTTTACTCTGGGAAGGAAGTGCACAGGTTGAGGTACAGTTCAAGGCTATATCTTTAAATTGTTAATGTACAATAATTGATGCCAAAATAATTCCCTAATGCAATGTCCTGTAGGTCATTTAATTCATGAAATCTAAACCATTCCCCCTGACTTACTTTTGCAAACAAACAACAACATAAAAAGTAAGAAAAAAGAAAAGACATTGTGGAAGTCTTAAAAACTGCTGTTCCTCCAATTGCCTCTTCTGGCGGTCTCTAATGAGTTATTCACCTTTGATCCCGTTGTCAAAATGCCCAACTTTACAACACAAATAAACATGTTTTTTTAATTTTTTTATTGAACTTTTATTTAACCAGATAAATAACTCATTGAGATCAGGATCTCTTTCACAAGGGTGACTTGGCCAAGAGGGCAGCAGCACACGTCATAAAAAGCATTACATGATAAAGAGACAGTTTACAAACAATAAGTTAGGAGAGAACAACAATTTACAAATTGCAAATTGATTTACAGATAAAGTGCAGAATCTTGATCACAGAGTACAATTCAGAAACACAGATACTGTCCAATTGTCTCGTGTTTTTTATCTTTTAAGATCGAGCCAAAGGCTTCAAGAGCTCCGCCATTTTCAAGTCATTTTGGAGAAAGTTCCATGCGGTGGGAGCAGCAAAACTAAACGCTCTTTTCCCGAGCTCAGTGCGGACACGAGGCACAGACAGTTTAAAGACATCACAGGAACACAAGGCATAGTGGCTTCTGGTTCTTTGAAGGTATGAACATAGATAAGAAGGCACCAAACCAAGAAGAGCTTTATAAATAAGCTTCAGCCAGTGTATATGCCTGCGCACCTTCAAAGATGGCCAATCTGAGTTAGTGTACAGGTCACAGTGATGAGTGAAGCCTCTACAAGCAGTCTTACAAAATGTTATTTTCTTCTGCTATTCTGGAAAACTTAACATTGAGGAAATGTATTTACCACAACGGTTAAACGTTATTAAGCCAGTAGCTTTTACCTGAAAAATAAAATATAGACTTTAAACAAAAGTAATGCTACTCAATCATCACTTGAGTGGGCCTCCATACATCTGTAGTGGTGACTGTGTCTCCAGACAGCCTGTCCTTTGCCTGCATTTTAATGTTTTGGTTTTCTGGGTGTGGAGTGGATGTGCTTCCCCCTGCCAATGTCAGTGTGCAGGTGTGTTTAGGAGTGGATACAGTTCAGTTATTGGTTGTGATTCAGCCCCCCGCTAATAAGATTGATGTGGAAGTAGCAGCAATAACTTAAAATATAATCATAGTGAGGTGAGACGAAACGCTACACGGATAAACCTTGTTCAAAAACGAGGGTTGTCTCTCACTCTCTTACAGAATTGGCCTGCATTCTGTTGGACATGCAGATGTCATACATCGGTGGTTAGCTTGTGCTAGCATGTG